TCAACTATCTATGCCAGTGACGCTTGGTGGTAGGCAGTACAATTAAATACTCCTCCACTAGATGGCAGAAGGCACACCATTAACATACAGGTATGTATTTACTGTGTGTGACATTTTTTTGTTTGGGTTGTGTGTCATAAGATTTTTTCCCCCTAGTTTTGACTCAATAAAGTGTAACTGCTTATGTTAAAGTAAGATCAAGCCTTCAAAGCACAATCTAACAACGAACAAGCTAAGGCACATTACATAGGACTGAACCACTTCTGTTTAAAAACAAAAACAGTGCATTGTTCAAGAACGGATCCTAACACCTCGCGAGATTATGCAGCTTTAAACTATAAACACCACATTAAATGCAATATTTTGGATATATCATTTTGAATATATTCAGACAGATAAGTGAATGAACCTTTGGACAAGAAGAAGACAAAGAAGAAGAAGATCCTAAATGCAAGAAGACCGAGGAAATACAAGCCACTCGATATAAAGGGTTGCATGAATATTATTGTACCACTAGATGGCGCAGTTTATACACGTTTAAACAAACGTGACAGGGGCGTTGGACTGAATAGTGAATTACAACGCCTTCATTCCACCACATCAAACAATAATCATTTGTTTCAGTTAATCAAGTTGTTCAGAATTAGGAGCTCTAAGAGTCAAGGGTCATGTGAGATACTCGAGAGAAAAAAAGAATCATATTTAGACCCTATGCATCCTAAAAGCAATATTTCACTTCACTTATAATTTAAACTAATCAATACAGGAATGCTCATGTAAAAAAAAAAAAAAAATTAAGACTCAGCTCGTGACAGGCACTTAACCTCAGCAACACCTTTTGTCCTTAATCCGTGCGATTAATTTATTGTCTCATACATACAAGAAAGACACTAAGACATATTGTTAAATGGTAAGCATTCATATTTATAGATTTAGAAAATTGGACGGGGGCGGGGATTGGGGTGTTTTAGAGGTGAAAGTGGGGGTGACTGACATTGTAGTCAAGGGGGCCCTCTCTTTATCCTGCTCTGATGGCGAACATCATTCATTCATTCATTTTGTCTTCGTTTATGGTCACGGATGAGCCGGAGTCTATGCCGGCGGACTTTGTGCGAGAGGCAGGGCACATGTAGTATACAAACAACGATTCACAAATTGCCAGTTTAGTGTCGCCAAAGAACTCAATGTGTACACTTTAAAAGAAAAGCATTGACTCACAGGAAACACAGGAATATTTGAACCCTGAATTTCAGAAATGTGAGGCAGGCATTTTGACCATTTGCACACCATGCTGCCTCAGCATTTATTCATTCATTTAAATTATAATGTCAATTAATTTGATATAGCGCCAAAACCCAAGAAACATGAGTACATTTCTCAAGCAGACCAGGTTTAAAACTTCAATGCGCCAAAAGAGACTCAATGGAAGCAATTTTTTGTGTGTGTGTGTGTGTGTGTGTGTGTGTGGGGGGGGGTGAACTCACCTGTACAGAAGAAACCTTTAGAGCCAAGAGTCTGTGTGGAGCAGCCATTTGCCATCAACTCTATAATGAGATTAAAAAAAAAAAGATGCTTAGTTTTATTTGCATCCTACAGCTTTGCAGCACCTCCAAATTAAACAACAACAACAAAAATATAAACTACCAAAATATCATGACTCAATATAATTGGAGGGTAGGATCCTTGAGGAAGAATAGGGCATTGTTAATCCATCACTTGGTTATCAATAACATCGCCCATATAAGGGGACAGCAGGTGAACATCTTCAGAAAAATGGGGTCACAGAACATGAAAAATGCTGACCTATGAAGAATGCGGATGAGAGCGTGAAGGTGTTTGATGACTGAGTTGGGTTAACATCTGAGAAATGAATAAAGCTATAACCTATCAGCCTGTGAGAAGAGTCAATGCATTTCTGGAAAGTGTTTTTTTGTTTCTCCATCTTGTTCCTTTAATGCAACTATTTTTTTATGCCAATTAATGCACACCCCTTATTTGGGAAGCCCTATACTTGTTGAATTCCGCAGCATCCAAGATCAGCATCAAGAAGCCATTGCAAGTGTGAAGCACCACCACCTCATCCCTGCTTCAAGAGGGGAACTCGTAGGCTGCCGTTTAGCGGTTAGCAATGAACTAGGTGGCTGCAGTTCTGAAAGGGGTGTGGATGGTGCAACTACCAGACCATTTGGAGAGCTAAGAGCCGAGTGAGTGTGCATCTTGTCACTTGGAGTGACTCAAAGTCACCTTGCTCTTTAGACGTGAGGCGGATTCTATTCGGCAACTGCAGAAATTAGCTTTTGTCACATCATTGGTTTTATTTCTGGCTCGTTTGTTGGAAAGCCGCGTCTAATAACTATGCACATAAGTACAAAACAAAATAAAGGCAGACAATGTTGTGCCGAGGCATCCCTATGACACAATTTTGCAATAATAAATATAATAATGATAGATATTGGTGGGGACTAGTTGTCATTTTCAATGAGCAAAATGGGCGGGGCCCACGAGTTGCCTCATGTTTTAATTAATTTCCTCTCACCAATGTCTACCAAGAACCGCTACCGCCCCCTACAGGGAGACAAATGACCTCAACACCAATCTATGGCTCAGTGGCTCACAGTAAAATATCTTTTTAGTTTATATCACTTTATGCATTACATGAAATTATTGCATCAAAGAACAAAAATATACAATTGAATGAGGTAAGCATATTCGTCCACTTTTGTGCTAATTAACAAGAGTATGAAAAACAAACGATTTTATTGCGCACTGAGAACAGATAAAAATATGTGATTAATTTGTGATTGTATCACATCACATTCCACACGTTGAAATACTCATCGAATCATCTTTTACACCAGGTTGAAATCAGTATAAATTGTTTTGTCGCTTCTTCGAATTCAATGAACAGTGCGATTTCCCCTTGAAAATGTACCATCCTTGTATTGTAGCCCATATATGTGTGGACATAAATTATGCACATTCCTAATACGCACACACCCATACACATACATACAGATAGTTCATCTCCAGTGTTTTGTAAAGAGTATTTTTATAGTTTTTGTGTTGACACTCGAGTCTTTGAGAATCTTTTCCGGATTTTCTTTATGAACAAGCAAGTGGTGGAGGGAGCAGAAGGGAGGGGGGGGGAGAGAGAGAGAGAGAGAGAGAGAGAGAGAGAGAGAGAGAGAGAGAGAGAGAGACTGAGAGATGTGACATCTCTTCCTCTCGCATTCGGGTTACGGACAACGGAGAAGCAGCGACCATGCTGTGGAAACTAGTTGAGAATGTCAAGTATGAAGATATTTATGAGGTAAAGTTACCATCCTTGCTTCTCCTATTTGGCTGAAATGGGATTACCAGGCATGCTTGAAATGGATACGTGTGTCGTTTGACCGGAAGGTGTTTTCCAGGTGGTGCAACCTTTATAGGCCTTACTAGAATCGGGTTGTGAACGTGAACGGGAGCCACCTCGGGTAAAATGTGTTATTTTGTATGCCGTGCTTGTGAATGAGATGCATGCCTTATAATTGATTTGCAACATATGGTCAGAGAAATGGAAAAAAATATATTTCTAGAAAAATATACTTTTTTAAAATCCAGTATAGGGGTGCTCATGGAATGTAATCATTTTAAAGTCAAAGGCATTAAGCGACACTGGTTACGACAGTGGACAGTTTATCATGTTCACAGGTTACAGGGTGCATGACAGGGTTAATGTTGTAAATTGGCTACAATATACAACTTCAAAAGTTACCCTAAAAAGCTCGTTCAGGCGTGAGATGTATGCAAATCATCTTGGCTTTTCTCCCAGAACTATAATAGAAGAAAATAGCCGCGCTGCTGCAGATAGGGGCGAGAAGAAAAAATATAAAATGGGCCCCTTGGCCAAGCCCAGTGGGAGAGCCTTGTCTCGTGCCGCACATGGCCTCTCTCCCACGGCCACCGCAGTTTAAGGGAGCGCCTAATGTCATTAACCAAGCACTACGCGGAGGGCATTGTCGAGTCTAATGCGCCTTTTGACTCGTGACACGGTTCACACGAGCCCCCCACGCGCCAAGGAGTGCATAAAGAGTTTCTTCTGGATCATTCTACAGAGCTGATTTCCGTTTGTTCAAATCATCTTGGAGGGGGCATCTTATATCTGGTGACCGGTGAGCGACCTATGTGATGGAGATTCACAGCACAGTGTGATTTTTTTTGTCATGTTAGTCTGCAGTATTCTATTGCAAGTGAATCCCATTTTATCGCGGTTCGGCGTTCGCTCCCATGTCAAAGTTGTTGTTTTTTTTTTAATTGTTTTTTACAATTTTTAAAATAGAAAATACAAATAACTGTTAGAAAACTTTTGGTTGTATTTTCAACCCTGCGATTATCTTTGAAGGCTTCCGGCAAGCCAACAACAGAAGATAAAACTCCCGGAGTAGCCAAAGAAGGTGACGAACCATATTTTCGCCGTTAGTGCCATCTTAGAATAATCACAGCACACAGCACTTAAACTGAGTAATATTTATTTTTGGGGGGGGGGGTAAGTTCAAATTCATCTCAAGTTGTGTTTTAATAAGTTGGAATGTGTTTACACGTGTGTTAGTAGTCACACTATTTTTAATAAATGCATGGGCTCTCTATATCGCGAATTTTCTCCAATTTTAGTGCAAAATTTACCCCCGTGAAAAACGGGGGGTGGGGGTGTATTCTATACCGATTAAAAACATACCTGCGTGTCTCAGAACGCCACGCATGGTGGCGCAAGATGCTTCAATCGTGGCGATGCGTCGCCAGAGGCCTCCCGTGCGCGCATTAATACAGTATTCCTGCGAATCTCAGTCGTGAATAACAATTACACGGGGGAGGTAAGCAGGTGGGGGGGGTAGCTCACACACGCGGGGGGAAGAGGGAGGGAGAGAGTGTGTAAGTGAGAGAGAGAGAGAGAGAGAGAGAGAGAGAGAGAGAGAGAGAGAGAGAGAGAGAGAGAGAGAGAGAGAGAGAGAGAGATCTGCCCCTGGAGGTGCTTGGAGCAGCATATGCCCGGGCTCTTGTGGACTAAAAAATTGGCGTTTCGGCTGGTTTGGTTGTTTTTGTGAGGCTGACAGCGGTTGTCCAGATGTTAGTTCATTCTTACTGCACTGCGGTGAGTTTTCGCTCATGGTTATCATTTGTGGTGAATTGGTCTTCAGGTTCCTTTTTTTTTTTTCCTTCTTCTTTTTGTGAGTTTCTAATTTTCTGTGCTCCCTCAAGGACCGCCATGACGGTGTCTCGAGTCACAGCTCGCGCCTGTCCCAGCTGGGTTCGGTATCCCACGCGGGGCCCTACTCCAGCGCGCCTCCCCTCTCCCACGCGCCCTCGTCGGACTTCCAGCCTCCCTACTTCCCACCGCCGTACCAGCCGCTCGCCCACTACCAGAGCCAGGACCCGTATTCCCACGTGAGCGACCCGTACTCCCTGAACTCTCTGCACCAGAGCCAACAGGGCGTATGGGGGTCGCGCCAGCGGCAGGACGCCGCCGGAGAGCGGATGGACAGCTCCTCTTTGCTGGCCCAGCCTCGGGCCTCGCTGCAGCAGCTGCCTGGGCTGGACCCGCGGCGGGACTACGGTGGGGTGAGGCGGCCCGACGTGCTGCTGCACGCCGCTCATCCGGGACTGGAGCCCGGGATGGCCGACGGATTGTTGCACGGACTGCACGGCATGGAGGATGTGCAGGTGAGTCGGAGGTCAGGAAAATATTTTTTCACCGCATGTGAGAGATATTCGACTTGTTTTTTCCTTGCTTGCATTTTTTATTTTTACTTTATTTTTTTTTTAATGCAGCGATCATTAACGTCTTTGGAGGGGGGGTTGGAATAAATATACTACTCTGTCAGACAACGAATTCCCTTAAATAATAGAGTAAAGGATATTTAAAGCATACAAAAACTATGACAGAGATTGTACACATTTTACTTGTAATAATTGAAGTGTATAATAGCATTCTTATTTTTTGAGCGGGATCAGGGGTCAGTGAATGAGGTGCCCCCCAGGGTTGACCTCTGAAAAAAAATGCAGCTGTGGTCTGACCCAAAAGGGCCTTAGGCTGAGAATGGGGCCACAACAAGATAAGCATGGCATCTCTCTCTCGCTCTCCTTCTACTGGGGCTGTAAAAATAAACAATTTGAATCAGAAGATTGGTTTTGATCTCACCAAACCAAATTGAATTGTTGCGATTTAAAATGTAGCGTCCTTGAATTGCATTTTATCGTAAATAGTGAAATTGTCTTACAAAATAAACTGGGGAATTATGTACTGGACATGCACTGGACAGGAATAAATAAATGGTGGATTAATTAACTTCAATTAATTATAGGAATGACTTGTTGGAAACTGTTTCTCCTTTTTTTTATTTTTTATTTTGTTTTTGGGATGTCTGTCACCTGGTGTGATTTTCATATTCAGCATGTTCATTGTCTACCTGTAATTTATTGCCAAGCATGCAAAGTCTTTCTGTTTTTGTTCTTGATGTGATGGCTGGGCGTTGGACTAAATTAAATTCACGTAACCCCCCCATATAGCTTAATTACGTGTGACATTTCAGTGGGCTATTGCAGTATGAACTGTCAGTACAAGAAAACAAGCTTATAACGATGGTTTGTATCTGTCTTGGTATTGACAGACTATTGACGACACCAACGGAACCAACATACTGGATCAATCCGTTATTAAGAAAGGTAAACTGCATGTCGATACCGTGTGCAATGCAAATGATGGATATTTTCGCCTTTAAAATGATGCATATACTTTGCATCGCTGAATCTATTTTAAGGTGGCTTAAATGATTGTGTCGCATGACTGACTTATTGGGCAATCTAACTTCAAATACAGTAAATGCACAGCTTTGACAGAATTATAGGATAATTTTTTTTTTGGGGGGGGGTGGAACAAGCACTGGTGTAGAACTGCATTACATCACTAACCCTTTTTAGTCATTGACAATTATCCAATATAATGTAAAGTATTGCAAATTGAGCATCTCTCACAGTGTCCCGATCTGGCATTACCGAGTCTAAAATGTCATATTTTGAAACGGGCAATCTTTCTACTGGCCGTCACTGCGTACCTAATGAGGTGACCGGTGCGTGTTTTCCCGTATTGTTGTTAACGCGGTGATGACGAGGGAGCAAAATGATTCGGGCACCGTTTTATTCAAGGGGAGTTCCAGTGGTTAAAAAAGACTGGCAGTTGTTCCTGCTCAGTGGCTCCAGGATGGGGAGGCTGTAAAGCGGGATAACGACCCCCCTGCTCCCCCCGCAGAGCGCCGCTGACAGGCTGCCACGCATGCAGGCAAGCCGCTGATGATGTGCAATGATTCAGTCGCGGGATGTTGAGTGACTGAGCTCCCCGCGGGGCATTTAAACCGCTGATGTAATAAATGGCACCGCTCACGGAGATCTCGTGAGCTCGTTTAGAGCTAATCTGCTGTATTATCCCCCATGGAGCTATCAAAAAAATAATAATCACATTGGCCCGGTGCATGCGTGCGTGCGTGCGTGCGTGCGCCTGCATGGCTGCAGCGGCGTTTTGACCGCCGAGTGCGAGATTTAACATAAATGGAAACAAGATGAGTGTGTTGCTCACTGGCCATGCGAAAGCTGGGAGGGAGTTTCATGCGACTGGATCAGCAATCGATAACGCGATGTCGACCAGAACTTTGTAGTCGAAGTCAGGATAACCTCGTGAACGCGCCTGGTTAGACAAAATGACCAAAACACACTCACTGGTCTCGGCACTAAATGCAATCACACTATATCGTATGCTGAGAGAATATTTTTGGCTGCTCAATGTAATTATATCAGCTGGTCAAATATCAGAAACGGCCTTTACTTGCAGTTTAATAACATGTTACCAAGGACCAAAGGGCTTATTATATCTATCTTATTGTATCTTATGGGCTATAAATATTTTTTACACACGAAAAAAAATTGCCAGAAAATGAGGGAGAGCCTTTTGAATTATATCAAAATACAATTTTGCCTTATCTTCGATGAAACTCGTTTTTAGCTCCTTTATTAGATGTCATGTATGTCAAATTGCCCGTCGACTAATGATATAAAAATAAAAAAATCTCCCTCTTTTAGTCCCCATGCCACCCAAAAACATCGGTTCGTTGATGCTCGGCAAGGACGGCCTGATCGGTGGAGTCAGCGTCAACATCAACGAACTGTTCTGTTCGGTACCGGGTCGGCTGTCCCTTCTCAGCTCCACCTCCAAATACAAAGTGACCGTCGGGGAGGTGCAGAGGAGACTTTCCCCGCCCGAGTGCCTCAACGCATCCTTATTGGGGGGCGTGTTGCGAAGGTACGCGCGCGCGCGCACACACACACACACACACACACACACACACACACACACACACCGATGCACCTCTAAGCAAATCTCTGGAGGCACTTTGTAACACCCACCCACAATTCAAAATCACTTGAAGCATCCCTCGTGGCATGCTTTCAAAGAAATTCATTGCGCACGCATGCTGTGTATCCAAATGTTTACATTCTCGTCCTCTACATTTTGACAGAGCAAAGTCCAAAAACGGTGGGAAATGCCTGCGGGAAAAACTCGAGAAGATTGGGCTGAATTTACCTGCTGGGAGACGCAAGGCTGCAAATGTCACGTTACTCACGTCACTAGTTGAAGGTGATTATGAGAAGCATTGTTTTAATTTTTTCCCCCTCGAGGGCGTGGCCATGCAGGCACCGGTTTCAGCTGCCTTCGAATGTTGCGTGTTGAGAGAGGAGGACGAACTGCGATGCAAAATGAATTTGATTCAGCGATTCAAGCAGCAATATTGGCAATAACTTTAAATGAGAATAAATCACATTTTTTAATTTTTTTTTTTTTTTGCAAATCGAACAAACCATATTAACGAGTACGTTTAAATCATGCAGAAAAAAAAATCACACCATACTTAAAGTCAATTGTGCTGAAAAGTAGCCTCCCTCTTCAGTGCATCCAATTTGTTGGATTGAACAGCAATTCGTTACAAAGTAATAAGACGCAAACACGACAGTCTAGGCTTTCATTTTTTGCACTCGAATGTTGGAAGTGGACTCGTTTGTGTGCGCACCCCACGTTGACTCGCGGCCCCTGTGTGCAGGCGAGGCCGTGCACCTTGCCCGAGACTTCGGCTACATCTGCGAGACCGAGTTCCCCACCAAAGCCGTGAGCGAGTACCTCAACCGGCAGCACGCGGATCCCAACGAGCTGCACACGCGGAAAAACATGCTGCTGGCCACCAAGTGAGTTTGATGGAGCGTTTGATTGGATTCTCACTCGTTGTCTTTTATGGCCGCTCTGCTGTTTGCCTCGCGTTCTTACACACGTCACAGCAACGGATTCCGAAGCTATTCTAATTTGAAACCTACAATCGCTGTTATTTTTTTCCCCTATGTGGAAGCAAATATTTTCACGTCAATGAATAATTAACGCAAATATATTTATTTACACCTGAGTCTAAAGCAGCGGGTGCCCCCTCACTTGCCTGTCCCTGCACATTGTTGCCGTTTCATTTGAATGACATAACTGCACCCATTGTGGGGGGAAAAATAGCACATTCGTCATCTCCAAATGGGGGGCATTTCTGGTAGAAGGAATTAGTGAGAAATTAAACCCTGCCTTCAATTTCCAGGGCCCTCTTTGGTCCTCCTCTTAAAGGATGGCCTGAGGGAGCATGAGCCTGCTGCGAGACAATATTTTTATATATGCCTGCCCCGTTCTGGCGCAGTGAGCATGGCAATGACATTTGGATATGAGATTTTATTCACGGGTTGATATAGTTTAACCCGGAATAAAATATAATGTTTGATGTTCGAAAATATCACCAGTTAATGCAAGAATTCGGCATTAAACTTCATTGGCTACCTGAAAATATAGCTCTAATATTAACATATTTTATTTCTGGAAAATGTCAGCGCAAGATGAGCATTCTCCGGACTTTTAAGTGTCGTTAAAAGATTCCTTTACAAGAAACCTTTTAGCATAACGTTGGACAATTTGATGAGACCAGAAGAGCTCACGGACATTTGAAAATACAACTTCAGTTGCTGTGAATGCATATTTTGACCCATGCTTGTCTTCGAGGCAATCCATTGTACTGGTCTCAGTGTCAAGTTATAATTATCGATTTGAGGGCTGCTATACAGTGGAAATGAATTCAGGGTTTTTCGCAAATGAGTTGCAATTGCTGTGTCAAAGAAGCAGTTAGATAGCAAATAAAAAATAATCCAAACTATCTTTTGAAAATCTTGCAACATTGTTGTAAGAACAGAATTGGGGGCAAATATTCACAGCACAGGGGGTTTCGAATGAAGACATTTCAAGATCCGAAAAGTGAAAAAAAAGAGGTCAAGTCAATTTAGACCATTGAAAAGAAGTCATCTAATTGCGGTGCAATATTTGCTCGTAAATTCCAATATCTGTTTGGTGCTCAGTATGGCTGATGTGTTCGCCGGTAGATGTTTGATGCTCAGATGTGAACCTGCTCCACTGCTGTGTGTCGGTGGCGCCTCTTCAAAAATTCATTATTTATCAGTCAAGTGTTTCAAGTCATCAGAAAACAACAGTGAGGGCCCTAAAGTGTAGCCCGAGGTGGAGACTTCTTCTCTCTACTCAACTAACCCCAGCTGGGCATCGGCCTGCACCGCCTGTCACTCATTTGCTGCAGCACTGCCCTTAGGCCTGCTTCTGTACTGTGTGTGTGTGTGTGGGGGGGGGGGGCGCTCTGACAAGCCAGAGGTCCCTTGAATCTAAATTGGGCCCAACTCCCAATGAAAAATGAGGTCTTTAAATTTAACAGGGTGTCCAAAATGAGATGTTAAAAACCTATTGCCCCCACATGAAGGCCTTCTAATATTCCTCTTTTTTATTGTGCAAGTTGATGTTGTTTCAAAGGTTTTAACAGTGAGTGAATGTATTGAAAAATGTATTTTTTTTCAAATTTGTGCCAAGAACATTGCAACAGAGCATGCATGGTCATAAATTAAATCGGTTCAAAATACCCAAAACAAAGGGCGGAGCTAAAGGGTGGGGTAAATCCAGCCCTTGTCACTCAGTGGCTACCCCTGCACCTAGTGGGGGGAAAAAACGAAATTATTTTGTATTAACTGCATATTTAAAGAATAAATGTGTAATTGATCTCAGTGCAAATTTAAAAAAGAGAGAACTTACACTACATTAATAAACACTACACAGGTATTGGAAAAATGTTTTCAAATCCAAAGCAAACTGCTAAATTTAAACATGAACTAAAGCACAGGCGATGTCACGTCAACATCACGGTCGGAGCGAAAGAATACGTAGCATGTCAAGGTTTTGTGCAGCAAATCAGCACAAACTGAAAGAAATACAGACATACATTTGAAGTCTTCCTGCCACAGTGTCAAATTGCTCAACAATTATGCTGCGCAGCTTCCCAAACACAAATAACGCTCATGAGACAGGCGCCTGTTAGTAGCATCGTCTGGCTTTTACCGGTTCACGAGCAAACTGCTTTTTATCTCCACTTTGTGATATGATTTCATTTTGAGTTTTTTATTTTTTTTTTTTTTACCTTTTTTTGCAATGACTTCCACAGAACTTAATTCAACTATTGACTTTCGTCTTGTGGGACAACATTTCTAGTGTATTTTCAGTACTTTTAGATTTGTTGATTCTGAGGGCTGAGTGCAGAAAATTTGACGGATGCAATTCTGTGACTTTGATTGTTTTAAACATGCTAAAATCGATCAAGCAATTCAGTAATGCTTATATTAGTTAATTTTTTTGCACCCAGATTTTGGGGTGGTCACGGCACACTTAAAAAGGAAATGAGTGGAGTGATTGGCTACGATTAAGGTCAGCTGTGACCACCCCCACAACAGTGCAGCCTTCCTTCTCTCAGAGGTGCCGACCTGTGCATATCTGGTCTCACCCGTTCATGAAAATAGATTATCTTTAGGGGAGAGCTCCTGATTCCGATTATCATGTGAGGCTACGCTAGCTGAAGTAGCATCAATGGCAAAAAGGTCTTTCCTCTCCCGACACACGATCGCTTCTCTTCCCTACAGGCAATTGTGTAAGGAGTTCACAGACCTGCTGGCCCAGGACAGGACTCCCTTGGGCAACTCAAGGCCCACGCCCATCCTGGAGCCCGGCATCCAGAGCTGCCTCTCTCACTTTTCCTTCATCACACACGGCTTCGGATCGCCCGCCATCTGCGCTGCGCTCACAGCCCTCCAAAACTACCTCACCGAGGCCCTCAAGGGACTGGACAAGATGTTCCTCAACAACCCTCCCAACCGGCACGGGGACAACAAGTCTGGCGAGAAAGAGGAAAAGCAGCGGAAATGAACCAGACGTGACGTTATTACTTGCAGCTTTACGCCACTGAGACTGAAGTGCGCGCACGTATATATACACACACACACACACACACACACACACACACACACACACACACACACACACACACACACACACACACACACACACCAGCCTGCATGAGGAAGGAAGAGGAGGAAAGGAGTTCAGAGACACAGAGGGACTGTTCATCTGCGTTACGTTCTTTCACTCCCCCGAGGACATTCTGGCTGCGGCGTTACATCCATTTTGCTCCTCGTGCCAGCATCCTGACCGCGATGCTGTGTGCAGCAGCAGCAGACTTTGTGTGTGTGCGCGCGCTTGTGTTTGTCTTCACGCAACAAAAAGCATTGTGAGTATGAAGATGGGTCATGAGCTATCTATCTGTAAAACAGATTTGTCTGGTAACTTCACACGAAATAGAAGCGGGTGGGGGGTGGGGTTGGCGGGGGTAATTTATGCGTGTACATATTTATTTATATTAATTTAAATGGTTGATTTTGTAAATAGGTGCCAGCTATTTTGGAGGAGGCCTATTTATCTGTGATTTGATCTTTGTGCGTCACCAGCCGGTGGGTGTGGGGGAAGTGAGGGCTCGTCCAGTGTTTTTCTGTTCTTCTAGAGCTGTTGTCATGGTGCTGATGATGGGTAGACATGCTTTGAATTGTCCTGTGCTTTCATTTCTATCACACTGATAATAAACCATGCGTTTTATTATGAGAGCTATGCTGCTGGCACCCTTCCTCCACAAAAACGCCGCACTCGGAAATGTATCCTCATATACGGAAAGCAAATCCTCCTCATGGCACAGAGTGAGCAAATGTTGTCAACGGTGGGGGTGTGGGGGGGGGGGGATTGACATGGGATGACTTTTTAATCAAATGAGAGATTGTTCTGAACTCCCGCTTCTGTGAAAAATGAAATTCGAAATTTGACCAAATGTTTTACTTTAAAAAATAAATAATACAGCTCTAAAATACAAAAATATGAACCTAGGGGGTTTATCCACCAGCGTGTATAATCTTTTTCTGACTTCCTGAATGCCTACTGTTAGATTTAAGTAACCTACAAAAAAATGAACAGAAAGGAACTCTCAGCTTTCTGATCAGTCGACGTAAAACATGAAATTGACTTTTTTTTTCAGCATTTCAAGCAAATCCATTTTTATTACTCATACTGTAGTTCAAATATCCAACACACCAAATCTTTCTGACTAAAGCATGATGTAATAGCATCCCCCTCCAAAATTGCATTATTTGATCCAGAAATATAGAGAAAGGATAAAGAGTCAAAATTGCTCCAAAGTAAACCTGAATGCCTTGGTCATAGATGACCTGACTAGCCCACTTGGTTATGATTCTCTATTATGGCCACATACCGGGAAATGTGAAAGTTCAACCAAACAATGGGGGCAAATAAGCAGGTCAGTTCACGTAAAACTGTTGGCTGCATTTTCAAGTCGAAGATCAAACCATAACACACCATCAAACCTGTCTTCTGCATACCAAAAAATTATTTACAGTCGCCGAAGCAGTTGGGTAAAATTATGACCATTGGTCCACAAGGCTCAAAATATTTTTTTTGTCTTTGCGAAGCTGTTTTGCGAATCACTGACTTCATTTGAGGAATGTGACAACATTTGCATACGTTCGCGTGCACGCGTGAGCCCAGCAATCTGTTTGGGATCGTCTCGGCGGTTGATTCTCAGTTTTGCTCTCCAAAATGTTTTCATAAGGCGTGACATGCAAATTTTGCTTGGCCAAATGCAAATTCTGCTCCTGAAGCTGCCATGCCAAGCCCCTCATTTCACATTTTATTGCTGATTAATACATCAGAGCACTCCATCGCAATTCCAAGCTACCATGCCTTGTCAGAGAAATCTGATGGGAAACTTCAGCGCTCCGATTATCCAAGACATGATGCAACTCATCATTCGTGCACTATCATTAATTGGGCGATACCGAACCATGAATGCACTTTATGCATTTGAACCTTGCCGACTATGTATAGTGCAAACCTTTTTTTTTTTCCCCAACACAGGTTATGACAAGGCTTTTTTTTTTTTTTTCGTGAACAATATCACTTTTAACCAAAACAATACCAACACTGCTACTGGTAATAATAGATCAGATACTGAGGTTTCATCATGCAAGGAGGCTGCAATATTTTCCAGAGCATGCACACAGCAGGATGGATTCCAGCCAGATAATTGGCTGCATTCTAGAGGCCTCTCACTCGCATGTGCGCCAGGGAACAGGAATTGTGCCTTGGGGGGGAGAGGAGGGGGAGAGGCTTCGTCTGTGTTGGCTATCTCACACTGTACTAATGATGAGAGAGCACATGATGCGCTGGGTCGAGCAGACACACGCAGAGACAGAGAGAGAAATTCCGAAATCAACTTTATTAGGCCTTTCCTTCCCAAAACAGTGCACGTTGGTAATGGGCAAATAAACTACCTTTAAAAAAAAAACATAGAGCAAAAGCAGGAGGGAGAGATAGAAATGGAGAGAGTGATAGAGGCAGCCCGGGGCTGAGTGTGACCACTGGAGTGGAACGTCGCGTGACGCAGGTGCAGAGTTCAGAACCCTCACGTCCGCGAGCGATTCCCGTTCAACAAAAGAAAAAGCTATTGAGGATCAGTGGCTATACACAACAAAGACAGGTTGGCTGGCCGCGGCAACAATCATGCTTGGGATGAGAGCATCGCGTTGGGATAAATTCATTCTCAATGGCATTTGGCACCGAGACAATGGATTCGTGGCTTTCAAAAGTTTAGAACCTTTGAACATTTTCATGTTTCCCCAAATGTAAAATTATTATTTGGAGGGGGCAAGCCCCAAACTATTCCATTAGCACTCTTGGCTGTACGTTTAGGACAAGTTGACCCGTGTGGTATGTTACTTTTGGTGTTGTTTGTTCAAAAATGGTCTCCACCTCTCAGGTCTTCACACTAACATTAGAATAGACACAGGGAGACTCTATTCACTTGAGGTGACTTCTGGCAATTGTTTTTTTTTTTTTTTAATTTCAAGGCTCTCATAGTAAAGGGGGCCGAATACGTTTGCATGTAACACTTTCTAGAAAAAAAAAGTTAAAATATAATGAATACATTTGAGCTTCATAAATGAGAACTTTATGTAAAAGAAAGATTGAAATTTATGTACTCAAAATATAAGGGTGGTTTTAAATAATTGTTTTTTCCTATGACAGGTAATTACGTATCAAGTATAAAAAGTAATTGTCATTGCTGGATAACCAGAAAAACCCAGTGGGCAATCTCTATTCTGTTGTCTTTTCACAGTGCTTTTATTTCTACTGATCTGATACGAGCTAAGCCAGCAAAAAGCGCGCACCTTCTATTGCCAGCTATATAAACACATGATCATGCTGAAAGATGACCGATATGTCTGATCAAGTTGTTTTCATGAAACTATCACAGGGTGTTATTTTAATCATGAGACCGGTTCAACGTTGACCCAGCTGTGGAAAAAAAAAAAAAAACAACCAAAAAACGGAGTCCAGTTTGCAAGTTACATCTTGCATCCTGAGTCGCCCTGTCGTTTTGCCAGAAAGTCAGGAAGCGCGTTGCCATCAGCAAAGCCTTTCAGCACTCTTGTCACCCGATGGGCTGTAAAAATGCTTATCCCACGCACACACACACAAACGCACACGCGGGTTATCCAGCATGCAGACTGCCGAGTGCAGGTCGGGAGTAATTCCTGCTCACAGCACTGTGCTGCAGGCAATGGAGGCGCTGGATATTTCATTATTCATTAATTTACTGTTTAACAAATCCTGTCATTACTGAGCTAGAGCTGAGTTCTTTCTCTCCCTCAAACACACACACGCACACACACACACACACGCGCGCGCACACACAGTGGCGGGTGTCAGGCGTTGCAAATGGGCCTGTTTGATCCTGGCCTTCTCAACAAATGCGTAGAGAGCCATGAATAATAAGAAACGCGGAGCTTTGCCGGAACGAGCAAGCGTGACACTACCTCACAAAAAAAAAAAAAAAAAAAAAAAAAAAGCCCTTCAGCGTGTGGCAAAAGTCCGCTGGGGCCTGCAATAGGCGCCTGAGGTTCTTTATATGAAAAGACAAAAAAAAACAAACAGTTGGCATAAGGGTGATCGATATGAAAGCCAACGCACCCCCTCTGCCGCCCCCCCACCCATACGGCTCACGCGGAAGGTGAGAGCGAGACTGGACAATTTCCTGTTTTGCATAAAAGGTCAGCTCAGCTGCTGCTTATTTTCTTCACTCAACTCAACTCAACTGTATTTATAGAGCACTTTCAAACAGCCATGCTGCATACAAAGTGCTGTACATGGAGCAATTAACATATACAACAAACAGTAAAGCAATTCACGACTGACGTTCATTAAAAGCACCCCAAACAACATGCAAGGTGGCTTTTTAGAGATCTTAAATACAAAGGAAAGTGCATTTCTCAACAATTATTTTTTTTGTTATTGCTGGAATTGCATTCCATTAATCGGTTTTAACAATGAACCATTAATCATCTTGTTTGGAGAGAAAAAAAGGAAAATAAGGCGATGGCTCCACAAAAAGCCCGAGGCTGAGTGCTGAAACACTTTACATTGAAAAGCGCGAGTCAACTGTAACAAAATAAAAGAAACTCCAGTTTGTCAACATGCTCAGGGCTGAGACGTCGCCTCAACATCGTGACAGGAAGTCCGAGAGCTGGGACGTGGCACTCGAAAGAGGTACCAAAGAGGAGGCGACGCCATTAGGACAACAAACAGCAACGTCATTTAACCGCACGTCCAGCTGCCACCTCCTGACAAAACATTCAAGTTAAAAATGATCAAATCCACCCACCCACCACTTAATACCTTGAAATCTTGCCACCGAAAAGCCCCTTAAAACGGAAAAAGACCGACATCCCAAGGAGGACCAAAGCACCGTGTATCTCAATGGAGTACAGCGTGACCTGTGGGTGGCCACCGACTTGATGTCATTAACACGTGACATATGGCGAGCTGACGAGGAGCGGCTGGAGGCCGGCGATGCGCCTTCACGGCCGTTCTTGTGTCTGCGGGGGCCGTGGGAGGCCGCGGGGCACCGGCCGGCCCGACCGAGTCGAGCAGCTAGTCAGCGTCGGCCGTTGAGACGCAACGTGTGGATCAGTATGCATGACGGACAATGCGCATGGATGGTAGCTCAGGGCGAGGTGTGGGTGGTTGTTGTATTGGGAGGAGGAGGGCGGGGAGGGTGGGGAGGGGGGCTCGGAGGGATGCTGGCAGTCAGATTCCCTTAAGGACGGTTTGAAGATATTAAGTTGAAGTGACACAGTCGCTGCTGCTGCTGAGGCAAGACAGCTTCTCAAGGTCACACAGAGGAGGACGCACACTCCTATCGCCAAGCCACTCATGCTCATTTGGACACAACAGCACACACTACAATCATACCGACGTAAAAAATAAAATAAAATAAAATACAGATGATGCTATTCGACCTCAAAAAGAACCAACAAAATATATATATATATACATGATGCTTCAAATATTTTTGGCCAGGATCTATGACAGGTTTTGTTGACCCATTGCATTTTTTTTAATGAAAGAAAGTCACATCACATCGACGACAACAGATCTTCAACCTGCAGAGTTTGAACTATTTGTCAGTCGTTGAACAAAAATCAAGCATTCATACACCGCAAAACCGACAGAGCTGCAGACCTTGACGCAGCCCTCA